GGCCCCAGCAAATATTTTGCAAAACTCTTACTCTTCTTCTTCTCCTTCTTCGTCTACTCCTTTTTGACTGGCGTAATTCAGCCACGCCCCTTAATTAGGCGTAGATAAACAGCAGCTTGATGCATTGTTATGTCATGCCGCACGCATGTGCCACAAATTGTTCACTGTACATTAAACAACAACAAAGGCGGGCAAAAAGGGTTTGGCGACCCAGCCAAGTTAACATCTTCTTCTTCTTCTTCTTCTTGCTCCTCCCACACACACACACACACACATACACACACACAGCTATAAAGTCAAAGTCGACGCATATGACAGAAAGCCTTACGCTGAAAGGGTAAACAAATTCAAGGCAAAATTGATGACAGGGCACACATATTACACACACACACACATGCACACACACACACATACACACACTCGTCAGCAGTTGTGACATTGCTGTCATCTTCGTCAACTTTGCCAAAGGTTGAACTAACATTGAAGCAACTGCCAACCACAGCACCACCCGCAGCAGCTCCTAACCCACTTCACAATTTTTTTACTGAATTTGGATTAAGTGGACTTTGCTGTTGACGCAGTTGTCTGGGCCGAACAGCGAGAAAGAGAGACAGAGAGAGAGGGAGAGAGAGAATATTTGTAGGGGGCGCAGCTCTAAAAAAGTTCTTAAGAGTTTTGAGCGCTGCTTTGCATGCCTCACGTGTGTGGGCGCAAAGGTGGCTGAAGAGATTGGAGCTGGTTGCAAGCTGACACTAGTCGCCACCAGCCACACTCACTCCTTCGCTTGCCCCCTCCCCTCCCACTTCGCCTTCGCCTTCGCCTTGGCTGCCTGTGTGCGCAAATATTTGCCAACGTGTCAATAACCCGCCCAGTGATTTATTTCATATTTGGTCTGGCTTATGAGTTTGTCTTGCCACCCACCTCGGCTCGAGTTGGCACACGGCTTGCAGCGTTACGCAGCTTGGAAATAGTTTTACGTTTAAATGCGAATGGGCCATGAGCCATGGGCCATGGGCCGCCTGTCAATGACATTTGATATTCAAATGGGAGTGAGAGAAAAGACCAGCAGCAGGATAAGGAGTGAGGAACAGATTTCATAGCATACTTATGCGGGCAGCGACTGATGACATTTGTGCCACGCGTTGCACCACTGCTCCGCAGCAATGTGGCAAATGCCACAGACGTCGCCTTTGCCGTCGCAGACAGCGCCTTAAAGCCGCATAAATTGTGCTCAGCCGTAGATGAAGTATGACATATTTTCAGTAATCCAAATCACAAACTCTGAATGGCAAAGGTTGTTTTGCAATGGGAGAGAGAGAGAGAAAGAGAATCTATATCATGCAAGCTGGGAAAGAGAGAAAGAAAGAAGAGAGAGAATGAAGAGACAGAAAAGAATAAAGAAAGGAGAACGATATTGCAGGAGAAAGGCAGAGAAAGATTAAGACAGAGAATAAGAAAGGCAGAGAAAGAGGAAGTCATAGAAAAACAGAGAAAACGATAGACAGACAAAGATATATAGGAATAAAAGAAAGAGAGAGAGAGACAGTCAGAAGAAAAGAAACAAATTGACTTCTTTTCATTATATTTTCTTCATCAATATGAATTCAGACCACACCTCTCGCCATTCGACATAATTTCCAGGGTATTTACTATTCGTCTAGCAATCGAAGCAGCCTTTTTCTTTGGCTGCCCAATGAAGCGTGGAGGATGCTTTATCGCCGCCATATCCACTTGCTGCCTAGTCATAACCTGCGCTGTC